CGAAAGGGAAAATGTTTCCTTTCTTCCATAAGCTCATTTTTATTTTTTGAGTTTTAAGTGGCTACTATGCTCCTTTTTATTTTACCTTCATGTCTTGAGAAGAAACCACACCCCATAACTTTTTGTCACAGCGTAACATGCGAGTAATGAAAACTCGATCGAAATTTCTTGATGATGAAGGAATGACGGGAACTTGACATGTCTATGCCATGTGACGATCATATGACAGTGCATGCAGGCTTGCAATATTATCCCAACTTGGGCGAACGTTGGAAGTTGCACAAATTTTTTTGTTTACAACATTATGACATGTGTGTAACCAAAATATTTGTTGATGAGAATTGACAGGATATCTTCAGAAATGTTTGGGATCTCAGATACAAGTTAGTAGGAGGTATTTTTTGGAGTACTTACATGTAGGGTTGGTATTTTAGGTTTTCAAAATGAGTCACAACAGCTTTTTTTTTTTTTTTAACAACCACAAATGATTCTAACTTCGTAACAACTGGAGGAATGAAATGTTACATTGTTATATCAGATTATGACGGCACCTGTATTCTCAATTAAAATGAATTTCATTTAAAGATTTATCCGATATCATACATGTAATTTACCTTTCTGTTGATTCATGTACATGATGCGCTGGAAGAACAATATCGCTTTTACCATGTTCACAGTGCAAGAAAAATGTTTGTAGTTTGCTGGATCAACAAGAGTGAATGCTGAAATATTGGTGGAAGTCGGATCACCTTGGGTTGGAAACATAATTACGCAGCGTTCTCATCAGAACAAGAACTGTAAAATTCATGGGACTGGCACGGTGACGGGCTCATTTACATGTAGTTACGGAGGCTTTCAAAAACATGTTGCAGGGATCCACAACGGGGGTTCATTTTTCAAAATGGTGACCTACTCAATAGGCGACTAACCCTCCTTCTGCTGTAACCATCAAAAACAGTAAAAAGTCCTTCCCCAGTACACAGACACATACATGTGTACATGTATGGGAAATTTGACTGATTTTGACTGATATGACAACCTGACAACTGTGTCAAGAATGATCTTTACATACACATGTAGGAGGGCACTAACATCATACCCTTTTCGCTGCCGTCTTCATCTCAAATCGTGGTGTACACCATTGGTTTTTTGTCGTAAATCCACAAGATTTGCTGATTACGGTGAGTAATATTCATTGCAACTTACATTCCACTCACTTGTTTCATGATTAAAACAACTGCTTTGAGAAAAACGTGACATTTTCAATGCTTAAATTGAAGGTCTTGTAGTTTATCTTGCATAAAATCTATGGATTAAAGGGTGTTTATAGTAAAGCGAACATCGTCCGCGGGGTCAGGGTGGGAAACAAGCATGACAGGTTCTCTCTCCCTTTAAAAAGGAGCAGTTTTCAACAGCTAGGAGTAATCAGTAAATTTACCTTGGAGTAATGCCCCTCCTCGAAAATGTAGCATTGCAGATTCATGGAAAAACTTCATCCAGGAATACATTGACTTGTGTCTGTGACATCAACACGAGTAGGCCTAGATGTATATGATAATGCATGTGTGTGCGATCGTGTTTATAACGGAACGGCACTTCTACGTGTACATGTATGTCAGTTCACATGTCGATGAAAGTCTAAAACACCATTCATAATAATACCAGTCATAAAAGGAATGACTTCTTAAAACACGGGAGGACTAAGGTGTGGAAACTGTACTTTTTGTTGATGAAACTTATCGTGCTCGGAAACAGCCGTCATATGGATCATACCATTATTATTCTCAAAGTTTTCCGTAAAAAAACCTTTTCTTCAATAAAATTCAATTTCACACGGATCCAATTTATTTTCTACTTTACGCCTAACACTCAGGTTTCTATAATTTCAGTTCACAGTGTTTTGGTGAAAGAACATCATTGTGCTTTTAGGCAGTTAGGTTTATCAATTCATTAACCCTAACCCTCCTCAATCCTCCAAAATCCTTTGGGCGGTTTTGGAGGATTTTGGAGGATTGAGGGTGAATGGCAAAAGTGCATGGCTGATTATGAAGGATGCCATGTGTGAAGGTTGTGGATTAGACCTTGTATTGTTTTTGCTTAGTCATGCATGAATTCATCTTGATATTTCCTTTGAATCAACCGCACTGCTCAAGAATGCCCTTCGCACTGCCTCAACATAATGACAGGAATTGCGGGAGGATTTTGAAGGATTGAGGCAGCAGGCAGACCTCCAAAAAACATTTTCAAGAAAGTTTGGAGGATTTTGGAGGATTGAGGCTGAATGCAATTTTTTCATGTTGAAAATCGGAGGATTTTGGAGGATTGAGGATGGTTCCTGGTGAAAAGGCCTTGGGGGTTAGGGTTAATGGAGACTCCCACAACATCTGCAATTGCTACATATAAGAAATTTGGCGCCTGTTAAAGAATGTGATGTGCGAAGTGAAATAACTCTATTACGATGGTCGGCCGACCATCGTAATAGGAGAACAAACATTTTTGTTTTTCTCGAAAACTACATCATTCTCGGTGGAAATGTTTTAGACTGATTGTGACTGTTGTGTACTTTCTTTCAAGTAAGATATTTCAGGATTATACGAAAGTCCGATTTTTGGGATTTTACCAGTGGTGTACACCACCTTTAATCTCCAGTGGTCATAACATCGACACGCCCATGAAAATCAAAAATTGCAGTGAGTCGTATTCCATCCCGTTGAATACAAATTCAAGTACGTTATAGAAATTGCTGAATGGTAGACATGTACATGTATGTATTTCATTATGGAAAGTCAAAAAAATCACACAGATCTTAAAATTCGAACAAAATAGGCCTATATGCGTCGCAAATTTAGGCAACTGACATTCGGGTGTGTGACAGTACTACTACCAGTATGTTAACCTGCAGATCATGATCAGCCACAAGTACTTTTACAATGTACACGTACATGTACATTACATCAAACAATCAATGTGCCGGTACACCTGTACATACATGTACATCGAACAATCAGTGTACGTGCACTAATTGGAACGCTGAAAGAACGCATGATGTCGTCAGGGTACTACACCGCGTTATGTTTGCACGAAGCACGCTCGGAGTCCTTGTAAAGTAAACAATAAACAACCTGACTAGACAGTGCCAAGTTGCGTGCAACGGGGGACTGTTCCCTGATCATCGTACATACATGTACATATACCGGTATGTATGACCTACACTGTACATGTACATGTAAGAGTACACATTTTCTGGCAGGGACTAATACTGTATGCATTTGAACATGGAAGCGCACTCCTGGTAAAAAGCACTTACATGTACATGTATGTGCCAGTACTGTGCTATATGCAGCCAGAAATGAGACGGCCGAATCCATACTGTTATATACTGTGCAAGAAGACACTCAGTGGGGTAGACTTGGTAGAAGCTGAAATCAGCCTCAGACAATAGACTGAGCTTCATACCTGCAACCACACACTTTCAACTGTTCAGTGAAATTCCAGGGTGGAACACTGACCAGGTACTTTAAGTTCAACCATTAAACTGGTGGCCCTAGTGCAATTCTTGACCATGCAATGTACCTGTTAAACATTTGTGGACCATACCCCAAATATCAGTTAGAGATTGTCCTTTAAGACAGTTTCAACATCATTTTCCACAGTGTGTACTGCACACCACAGAGTTGGGATAGTAATGGGACTTTTGCAACAGCGACACGATACAGTTACCGGAATGAGAACTCAGGTTGGAAGTTCCTGCACGTCCAAAAAAAATAATATATTGCCATCACAACTTATCTCTTTTGAACTTTTGCCGACTTAAATCAAATATCAACAATGATTAATCCAAATCAGCAATGATTTATGCATTTTTTTACACCACATATAATACAAGTACCATATCTGAATTTTGATCATCCTCAGAAGATCTAACCATAGCCTGTACTGAACAAATTTTGTTCTTAAGCTACATGTACCAAGTTTGAAGGAAATTATCTTCAGAAATTAATCACTTCATTGCATGTACAGAATAAAAGTATGCAGGGTGTATGTACCGCTATCTACCGGTACATAAGAGTTTGGTTATAAATGACTTACTGATGTCATTAGCCTCTTGTTCCAATCGCTGGCACTCATCAGAATCGGCAAGGGTTTGTTCCAGAACTTGCGTTAAGAAGCGGGCTTGTGTCGGGCTGACCCTCCTCAGGAGTGAATACAGGGCCACGGTCTGCTCACAGTCGTTCCACTCCTTGAACCAAATGGCCAGAGCGTTGACCTGGTCACGGAACAGATAGGCGGGCTTCATTGCTGTTGTCCAGCGTAAACCAGTGCCAATGGTGGCTGACACCACATTATCTCCTGGAACAGCAGTCTAGAGCCAATATGACCAGCAGGAGTCTCTTTTCACACACACACGTGTACGGTTGATGCAGTGCCATTAACAGTTGTCCATTGCATGTACTGTTACGTTACGGTACCTGTAGAATTGCAGTATTTGCAATGAATAAAACATATTACAAACATGAAAAGATGCTAAGACATATGTAAGTACGCATACATGAACCAGTAACAGTGAATCTTTATTTACAAATGTACATGTATGTTGTACATGTGACATACGTGTACAGTGTACGTACATGCATTGGAACATATGGTGCGTATGGTACGTGTACATGCACATGTACATGAACACTGTCGTTCACTTCATATCACTGTTCGAAAGACACCCACATGTACATGTAGCAACCTACATGTACATGTACGAGTAACAATAAAAGTTCTTACCAATATTACTGAAATCCTACAAAAATTTCTATTCAACAGTGAGAAACAAGGTGCAGGGACATGTACTGGTACATGTACGGTACCTTACAGCTGTTGCAAACTTTCCAGCACCCTGGGGTACCAATAAGAGGAGTTTTGACAATGGAGCAGTTACCGGTGCATGTACATGTTCTACAAAACAACGTACATGTACATGAACTACCTTCCCAGATACGTGTACTGGTATGCCAGTACACATTATCCATCTGGGATGACTCTCTTGACTCTCAGAGATAACTGTACTGTCTCAACAGTGCACACGTCTATGCAGGGTCACGGCCAACAGTTCGTGTAACTACTGTAGTAGTGTGGTCAGATGTACAGTCCGTCAATGAGCACAAGACAGTCAGTGACTTGCCCGCAACAAAGCTGCCACTTTTCACAATGAGGAAGTGGTGCATGACCTAACAGTTCTCTTGTTGCACTGCCTCTGTCGCTTGTGATGACACTGCACCGCACAGGAACCAGATGCGTTTGACTTGGCAGGATGCTCAAAGCAAATCATGCCAGCGGTTGTCCTGAAGTCAAATGAGGACTTCCCTACAGACAAGTACACATACACACATCACCCTGTAGACTCCTGGCAGAGATTCATAAGACTTGGTAGTCTGCCAGAGGACTGCAGCGGAAAGATCCCAAACCCCTCAAACTTTTAAGGGGCCACTCCCAAGTTGTAAAAATCTACATGTATAATTCAATGATATAGAGTACTGAAGTGTGACATCATTTAGACAAAAAAAAAGACTTTTGCAAACGAATGGTACATGCAGTCATGTTGGTTCACGCGCTGGCTCTCGCACTAGTACGACTAATGACTTTTAACCACTTGCTGCCGGGTGGATTTTTCTTGAGCAAGACAAGATGCTGGGTCCTTTTCAAGATTTTCTGTTTTCAAAATTTTGTAAAAATTAATCATTTCATTTAATGGCCGTTTATACCCACATACTACTGGGCACTACTCTTAAGCTGACAAGTAACCTTCATTGACTCCTGAATATTTCAGCCTGGCCTGCAGCCTCGGAAAAAGAGCCCAAATTGTGCGTTGTTACGTAAGATTCTTTTGTTCCAGAAACCGACACAGTGCACTGCTGACCTCTTTTCAATAGGGGCCAGATTAGCGTGCAGCGGTGCTGTGTGGCTCATCACTGCAGTGGTGGAAAGCTTTTGTCCCCGGTGGTAATCCACTTGCTCTATACTGTTTCAAAACAAGGCTGGATTATCTCTACTATTGAGAGCAAAAAAATGTCCGTAATGTAGTAGTAGCTCAGTCTTTTGTGCTGAGCACGGTCTTTTGTTATAAGGCCCAACATTTTTGTCCCAGTTCGGGCTCCCCGGCTCTGCATATAAAGCCTACAAATGTATGTGCTCGAAAACGGGCCGCCCGGCAAAAAGTGGTTAATTAAACCCTTGACGACGAGTATTTCTTCCTGAAAGCCGACTCCAAGAATTCCTGCCTCACTTGGCCATGAAGGCCACCTGCCAAACCGCAAATTCTCGGTTTGTGGCCCTGCGTGCTCTGCCTGCTTTGAATTAAACGGTGAAAAGGCTGATTGTTCGGTGGCATGCGGTTCTACTCACCCTTCCACATTCGCGTTGCCTCTTTTCAAAGTGGGGACTATTGTGAAGCTGGTGATTATGATGCAAAATTTGTCTTTTCAATTCTGGGCTACGCACAAAGACCAATTACCATAAATACAAGAGCCAGGGTCTGCCTTCTTTCACCGTGTTCGCTCGAACGTGGGCTGAGAATAATAGCTGAAAAGCGGGCTGAGGATCTCAATTTTTACGCCGGCTACAGCCGCCTCCCGGCGCAAAGAGGTTTTAATTAATACACTTGTGCACATGATGTCATGGATGTAAGCAGCAAATGTATATTCTAGGCCTGTGAACAGGGCCGCTGTCAACATACTAGGCCCTGTACCAATTGATAGCAATTTCTTTCAATCAAGTTTATCCGGGATGTTTGGGGATATTATCAGACATCCATTGGATCTCATGAGCTGAAATTGCACTGGTATGTTCACTGTATGTAGTTAAATGTACGAAGCTAATGTATACATGTTCATGTACATGTATCTCTCTGGTTGCTATTTGCAGAAAACTTCCATTTTCCTCATTTGGAAGAAAAAACATTGCCTCTTGGTGTTTTCCCCACTCTGGACGAATTTTTGCACGACTTGGAGTATACGTGTACTGGTACATGTACGTACATGTAGGGCCCTGTTTATGTCTGATAGTACATACATGTACATGTATATACATGTACATGTATATATATTCATAAACGTAGGTTAAGCCCTCAAATTAAAGTTGGTGGCATTGGATTTGTCACTCCAGCTGTCTTGACATGCCAACGTCAAACACGGAAAATGGAGCAGCAGAACGCTAGCGACGAACCCTAAACAAGGTCCCAACCATGCCAACCATGGCCATGCCAACAGCTCTACATGTACCACTCCACTGCCTGGTCTGGATGGAGTCTGAAGACATGGGAGACTGATTTCTGGATACTTCAAGAACTCAAAGTCACTACACCGTCATACTCTGTGTGACTTCGAGCCAATACAGTTTACATGGTGTCATAACGCTATGGGTTTTTGAAATCTTGAAACTTGATACGTGAATGATTCACAGGTGGAACAAAGGTATTAAATCACATTTCCCCTGACACGCCTGACAGCAAACCTGAGTAATCTATGGGAAAGCGTAGATATCCAGGAGTTTCACAAAATCACGGGTAGTAACCACACCGGGCCAAGGAAAACAATTGTAACAAGTGTGCACATACGCATTGGTCACAGAAAAGATTGTGCAACCCGATCCTCGGACTGGCTGATTTATGCGTACATCGCCATGGTCTCTGCTTTCACTGGCAAAGTACCTGCCATTTTGCAAGAATCACGAATGCTGACGCTGCTTCGCAGATCTTCAAAAGGGGGTGAACATTGTTGCAGAGCATGAGATGGAGTATTTTTTGAAACAAATTTGATGTTTGCTCATCAATCTGTAACTTCCACCTGCTGACAGTTGCTTCGTTCATACTGTTTGTGTTTATCAGATTGCGCATACGTCGAGCCCACCAATGACCACGCTTGCCCCACCGGGCAGTCTCAAAATGCACGGACTCAGCTTATACTTGCGTTTCACTGGTTCCAGTCAGCGCTTGAACATGTGGTTTCCAACGCTGCTTCAAAATGGCTGGAATTGGAACCAGCAAAACTGAAGTCTAAGCCGAATCCACCCGTTTCAAAAAACGACCTTTGATATCACATACAAAACAAGTGGGGTCACTGGTGAGTGGTAGGCTTAACATATGCGTAATCTGGTCAACACAAACGGCATGACCGGAGTGACCGTCAGCGGGTGGAAGCGAGAGACTGGTGAGCAAACATCTCATTAAAAAAAATTAGGCCTACACGTAGCCTACTCCGTCTCGTGCTCTAGTAAAACCTTGTTCACTCCCTTTTTACATGTTTTAAGAAGAGCTTAGCCATAGGCCTACTAGCCCCACAAGTGTGGCACCCCACAAGTTGCATGTCGGCGTAGTGAAAAAGTTTGGCGCACCCTCTTATAATCGTAGGTGCAATTCTTTTTGCACACAGATACGACCTTAGCCTCTCCACTTTCTCAGCGCCATTTATTGAATGATTTCACTCACTTTGGTCTGGTATTTTCCAGTCTTTTTACCTTCACCCATTCAATCTCACAGGCTCGCTCTCACAGTCTCCATCTTTAAAATAAGGTCGTTGAACATTACATCACTTGACCCCTCATCGTCTCGACGGCTGTTCCATGCCAAGACATATTACAACTGCTAGCCAAGTTTTGGAAGAGCCCATTGGTACATGTACGTAACGTAGTATCTTAAGTTATCGCTCAGTCCGTACTTCTAGTATGTCACAAGGAGTACTCAATTACGTACATGTACATAGGCTAGTAGTAGTAACTTCAAGTTCTCGAAATAAAGTAGGCTTCGCCTACACATGTAATTACTCTAGTCATGCATGCTAGTCTTACCGTAATTCGCTATTTCCTAAATTACATGTACATGTTGTAAATAGGCCTACCTACATTTCCAACATCATGTTGTTAGGGACACCATTGATACTTGACAGTGTATAGTGCACAATACAGACATGTACGACTACGGTAGAGCGTAGCTGGCTGAGGTCTATTCTTCCAAGTCATCCCATCCGTCATAGGCCTACATATTTATTGGTCACACAAAATACATGTACATGTATGTCATCGATGCATGAACTTGGCAGACAAACAGTTTCACTGGCTCCACCACGTACCTGGAGTTCGTAGCCTAGCCGGGTACCATCGGATCGTTTTTCTTTGGCCCTCTAGGCTGGTCCCGACCTTTGTAGTTTGAGATTATACATATGGCTCTTTTCTGGGGGGCGGGAACCAGTCTATCACGGCGGCAAACGACAGGCTGCGTACGCGTCGTCCCTGCTTGATAGTCCGTGGTCCAAATCCCGCGTCTAGGGCTAGGTCTCGGTCTTTGCCACTGATATGTGGCTCCACACAGAAAAGAGACGAAGCCGCATATGTTTCAGATATGGCTTGCTGTTTATGTTTCTGTTCTGTAAAACCATCAAATCTTTCAGAGGTCGCTGTTGCAGTTTGCAGGGATTGGCAGATGACACGGAAGCGTAATCAGAGCCACGTGTACATGTACATAATTTTTACGGTCTCAATTCCAACATTACTAAAATTCCAAAAATTGGAAATTTTCACGAAATCAATTCTCGTATTGCGGTAATTCTATTTATCGTGGCATCGGAAATTTTAAGTTTGCGCCGTTGAGTTCGCAATTGTCGGACAATATTCACGCAGGTAATTAATAATTTGTGGTCTGAGGATAACTTTTACGAAAATTTGAGAGTAAAATTCCGCACTTTGTTTCCGTGAGAGTTGATTAACCGAAATTTATAACCTGTAAGTCAGGACTGCGGTCTATTTCTATAATAGTTATTTCTCACGCCACCATGCTCCTGGAATCCGGCGTTGCACGGTTCCCGTAATTATGTCGGTTTCGAAACGGAAAAAGGACCGCGCGTGTGTTAAGGCACATTTTAACTGTGAAAACGATTAATTTTTTTCGAAGTTTTTTTTTTGGGGGGGGGGCGACGGGGTTGGCTTTTTAAGACTGGCAACGGACACGGAAATGAGTGGTATATTTAATCAAGGACCAAGGGTTAATTTATATAACGGGTTTTTGCCCTTACTCAACGTATATTAANAGCGGGCACCGCCGGGACTATTTTCAAGATGTATTTTTTTTAATTCCTAACTGAAACCACCCCATGAAACGCTCAGGTTGGAATTTTACTATTGTCTTCCTCAAGTAATATTAGGAAAAGTAATATCGTACCTAGGTCTCCATGTTCATGCACGTTTGTTTTCACTACCCGTGCTAATTACCTGAAAACGAGATTGTACAACGTTGCAAAGATTTACTTGTGTGCAGTCGATGGGTTCCAGCTGATTATGGGTCATTAGGTAGACATTCCCATAAGAATGTGCACAAAATTCTTCCAACTTTACTGTCACATCAATATTCCCTAATCTGATCTGAACCAAACTTTGTATGTTTTCATTTTAGGCCCCAAAATATCATCTCTCAAAATATGCACGGTAAAATTCGGCCTCCTTCTGGTAGTTTGAAAATAAGAAGACACTGATTTGTCTCCCTAAATGCCAATGTCTCCATAATACTGAAAAATTTACCACAAAATGTCTTTCAAATGACCTATTTGTAAATACCAATTGATAATATATTAACAACTGTTCCAGAATTAACAATTCCCCATGTATTTTTTGGACCTTTTCTTTAATGTTTGGGGTAAATTGTGTTTGTACAGAGAAGTCAGATAGATCATCCAGACGCTCAAAGGGAGAGTAGAAGACGACGGCAACCTGGAGGTAGCTGATATAAAAGCTAGTTTGGCGAAGGCCATAGAGGCGATTGACAAGCGCCAGAAGTTGATTAGGCTGGCAGATTCCAGTTCGTATGGTTGGGCGACCGTATCTGAGTACAAGTCTCACCAGCTAGCTGACAACGAAGATGACGACGCCAAGATCACCAGAACGGAGAACAGGGCTGCAAGGAAGGCCAAGCAAAAGAGAGCAGCGTCAACGACAACGAATCAACAACAGAAGAAGACCAAATGGGACAGCAGCTCTTCGTGGGCGTCTACTAGCGATAGTTCTTTTCGTCGCTCTTCCCAATCTTACCCCTACCTTGCCGGAGTGTCAAAATTCCAAGGGGGATCTTGCTTCATTTGTGGCAGCTTTGCCCATTGGAGAGCGACCTGCCAGGAAGATTTGCCGTCAGCAAACCAGCAACTGCAACCTCCTCAGCTACAAGCCAGTACAGTTAAGTATACAGAAAACAAGGGGTAGGCGAAACCGTTCCATTTGTGGTTGAGGATTATTGTTGAATATGAGCAAAAAGATGGGTTACCGAGCATTAAAGTCGCAGGTAGATTAAAGAAACACTGTGCATTTTGAAAAGCCATTGCTCTACCTGAGAATGTCTTAAGGACAATTGAATATGGTTAGGTTATGCCTTTTGTTTCTGAACCACCAGCTATGCTTATACAACAGCAACAAATCGGCTTTAATTCATAGGGAGTTCGTAATTGATGCGGTTACCGAACTTTTACAGCTGGGCACTATCCAGAAAACAGAATCCATGCCTAAAGTAGTCAATCCATTGGCAGTTTCTGTTCAAAGTAACGGCAACAAACGTCTCATTCTAGATCTGAGGCTGGTTGACGAGTACCTAGACAAAGCTTCTATGAAGTACGAAGACATACGTACGATCCTTATGTTCCTAAAGAAGGGAGGTTATGTCTTTAAGTTCGATCTTAAATCTGGCTACCACCATGTGGACATTTGCCAAGAACATGTCAAATATTTGGGTTTTTCATGGAAAGAAAACGATACCCAGTCTTTCTATACATTCAATCAGCTTCCATTCGGACTTTCCACTGCACCACAGATATTCACAAAAGTAATCCGGCCACTCGTCAAAAAGTGGAGAAGTGAAGGAAAGTCCATTGTAGTTTATCTAGATGATGGGCTTGGGTTTGCAGCCACTCTCCCAGAAGCCCTGGTGATGAGCGAAGAGGTAAAAAGGGATATTATTAGCTCAGGCTTTGTCCTTAATGTTCAAAAGAATGTTTGGGTACCAGTTAGGTCGATTGAATGGCTGGGATATGAAATTAATCTGACTCGGGTTCCTGACAGGAGGGTGCTATCCATGAAGCAAGATATCAAAAGTTTGATGCAGAAAGCGACAGCTCGATCTCTAGCAAAGTTTGTTGGCAAAATTATGCCAACGAATTTAGTCATAGGCAACATAGCCAATGTAATGACTAAGTATTTGCATCTTCTTATCGAGACCAGGTCGACACGGGATTCTGAATTCTAAATTTCCCCAGAAGCTAGAAGCGAGCTGGAATTTTGGGAAAGTAATATAACTAAAATGAATGAAGTCAGTTTAGGAACCCGCAAAGAATGTTCCAAAATTCTGTATTCAGGCGCTAGTTCGACTGGTTTTGGCGGCTATCTAGTGGATACCGGGGACGTGTCAGTACAGGGAAACGTGGGACAATATACAGTCAGGGAAGAGCTCCACTTGGAGGGAACTAAAAGCAGTTGATTTAGTTCTGGTGTCACTGGCTACAAAGCTGTCCTGCCGAAAGACCAAGTGGTTCACCGACAACCAGGCTGTTGCTAGGATAGCAACCAGGGGTAGTATGAAGAAAGAATTGCAAAAAGTTGCTCTGAGCATTTGTAAGACGTGCTTAATGCATAATATCCACATCGAGATGGAGTGGATTCCAAGATCAAAGAATGAAAAGGCAGACAAGTTAAGTCGTATTGTACATGTAGATCAAGACGACTGGTGTGTTGCAGAACACGTTTTTGCAGTTCTAGATAATTTATGGGGCCCACATTCTATCGATGGATTCGCCAGTTACTATAACAACAAGACAAAAAGGTTAAATTCAAGGTACTGGAATCCAGGTTGTGAAGCAATTGATGCATTCACGGTAGATTGGAAAGCAGAGAATAATTGGGTAGTGCCTCCCATCTCTTTAATACCTCGAGTGCTCAAGCATATGGAAGCTTGTAAGGCTATTGGAACACTGGTTTGTCCATGTTGGTTTTCGGCCCCTTTATCTGGCCGATGCTCTATCCAGACGGTCTCAATCCGGCAAGAGCAATTGTAGAGATTTGTGAACTTCCCAGGCAATGGGGATATTTAACCCTGGTAGAGGGGGGAATGCCGAGTTCCTGGCTAATATTACGAGAAGTAAGATTCTGGCAGTGAGGCTAGATTTCAGTTTTGACTGAGAATTGTGTATGTTGACCAAGGCACAAAATCCGCTTTATTTACAGATAATATTCAACAGTGGAATATGGCGAGAGAAGCATGAGGTCAGGGAACAAGACTTGAGGGAGCTCGCTAAGGAATTACCCGACATCGTCCTCAAAGCTAGAGCTGGACTCTACTGTGAAGTAGTATTCCTATGCCTTCAATAACTGGCACAAGTGGGCATCGAATTATGGCAAGAAAAGCATCGAGGCTGATCCTTACGATGTGGTGCTGTATTTGATCCATCTGGGCCGTTTGAGCAATTCTGCAGCATCCATAATTAAGGCAGTCTCGGCAATATCATGGGCACACAACACAGCTGGCAGCAACGATCCAACCAAAACAACTTTGGTCAAATCTGCATGGGAAGGTTTGAAAAGAAAACTTTCCAAGCCCACCGTGAAGAAAGAGCCCATTACCCCAGCAATTCTGCGAAATATGGTTGATTTGTATTTAACCTCATCATCTGAATTAAACACGGACTGGGCCAGTTAGGCATCCTTCAGAGTTTAGTACACAGTTTTTCTAATAAACACCACAAAACGCTAATGGGCCTTCCAAATCCTTAGGCTAATGTCGGTACATCTAAAAAGTACTCAGAAATGGGCCATCTACAGCTTAAAAAAACAACGTTATACGCTTAAAAAGTTTTTGGATATACGTAACTTTGACTAAGCGTTTTTTTGTCTGTTTGGGTACGCTTCTGGTGAATAAACTTGTTTATTCCTGTATTGTTTTTACCTGTATGTTTTTTTCTGTATTCTTAACTGAGCCAATAGAAATTAAACTTGGGTATGTTTATGATGGGCCAAAAAATCCTAATCTGATTTCAATAAAAATACACTGGAATGGCCTTTTTTTCTGTGCACGGAGTAACAAGACATTTCCTTGCTCAAAGTAACTAAACAAATCACTAACGATATTAAAAACTTCGAAGTCCACAGCGCTGACAAAGTAAATTTAACAACGTTAACGGTTGCTTTAGAGAAAATCAAGCTTGAGATTTCTACACATCATAAGACTGTTATCCATACAAAGTGTGTTTCCCAGCACACGTTTCCAAAATTCCTCATTTCAACACGGGCCGGGCTAGCTAGTCATCTTTCGGAACACCATTTTTAGTACACAACTTTTCTAAAACCACAAAACGCTCATGGGCTTTCCACATCCTTGGGCTAATGACAGTACATCTAAAAAGTACTCGGAGATGTGCCAACTACAGCTTAAAAACATCGTTACACATTTGAGGCCTCTGTGACAGTCTATACGTAATTTTAACTGGGCGGTTTTGTTCTTCTGTACGTTTTTGGTCAATAATGTTCAGTTTTATCTATATGTTTTTTCTATATTATTAATTGTGCCAACAGAAATAATACTTCTCTGTTTTGGTGATACAAACAAAAACGTCCAATCTGATGTCAATAAAATTACACTGGAATGGATTTCTGTGCACAGAGTCATGCTTTTACCGATGAAAAGGGGGACGTACAAAAATATGTCGACAAACGTTGCATTCTATTTATATTCAGCTCCTATCCTAACAACGCGAAGTAGTAGAACAGGCCGCCCAGTAGAATTTACTCCTGTCAATCTTGAATGGCCTGGCACAGCTGAAATATTCCCAAACAGGCGTGAGTTGCTGACATACTGCTTCCCATGCCAATGTTCGTTTTTGTTTACACTTCACTGGGCTACTCCCTGTGCAAAGCAAGGTCTCTTTCAGCATATCAAGTCTGGACATCGTCCAAATCCTGATATTGTGGCGTAATAGAAAAAAAATCGGCATTGACGTCTCCGCCCAACCCATGATCTAGCGGGCGCCGCGCGAAGCCCGGCATCCCGCTAGTATCACTACAATGAGCAGACATCACACGTCGTGACTGTGCCGTGTGCGACACGCCAGTTAATTAGCTTAGAAAGATGGCAGCGTTTATTGTAAGTCCTTGGCTGCTGCGTCTAGACTTTGAATGATATTTGTTGCGTGCTAGGTCTCCAAGGAAAACATGTTGGCTGACGTTGTGTGTGTTTTTTCCCCCCTTTACACAACATTTGTACAGCATCTACTTTGGCCTTGTCCAATATGGTGTAAGTAGGTATGTTTGGTATTATGCACCAGTATTGGTACATTTTTGCTTGTCTCTAGGCGACGCAACTACAACACACGATGGCACGACAGCTCCCTTGCATCATGTTTTTTCTTGTCACCTTCTTTCAATTACGTTTGTACACATACTTCGTGCCGTGCCATCGCCCGTCGTGTCGTGCTGTTTGACATCCTTTCCTTGTTTCCTTTTATTCTGCCTAATCGTCACTCCTTTCGTGACCTGTTGCATTGCACATTCATGCGTCGCGTCGTATGTTGTGCCGTGCGTCGCGTATTACGTCGCCTGAAGTACCAAGCGACGCACGGCACATCGCACGACGCAACGTCTGAGTTTGGGCAGCTTGTTCTCGTTTGTTCACGAACAGCTCGATTTGTTGTTCGTGGGTCAGTCGCTCGAACGCTGGGAATGTACAACGTTTACATTTTAAAATGGCGAGTGCTTTAATGATGGTCATAGTCAATGCATTGGCTTTTACCGGCTCATTTTTTATTTAGCAGCTTATCTAAAAATACAGTAGACGAGAAAAAAGCGTCATGACCTAGCTCTGGAGCAACTGGCGCAAGCGAAACAAGACTGGGAAAAATCGCGTGCACAAGAGGCCGAACCGTTGACGAGTAAAACGACCAGATAAACGTCAGAGACCGTTAAACAGATTTACAAAAGGTCGCCTCTGACTTGGCCTAAATTTGGTGGATGCAGGATCTGAATTTAAAGGCGAGTTTAAAAAAAAAACACGAGGTCAAAATTCAAGTGGGGGAACCCGGAGTCCATCGATCGCAGGGAATCGTCCCAGGGTTTAACCGCACATTGGCCAAGCGTTTATTTGGTCATCAGTATGCACAAGAAATGTTAAACGTCGTTGAACGTAACGTAGAATGGGTAAAACGTCCGCCCTAAGTAATAAAATCGCTCGATGAGCGATTAATTGACAAAGAACCTGCAGCATCCATCAAGTTAGACCGCGTTAAACAAGCACCAAGCGCGCATGTCCCAAAAAGAAGAGAAATTGAATTGCTCTCGAATGCAGTCGTTCGATATCTGTATTACCGGTTGAGCAAGAAGGTGGCACCGTCAGGAGGGCAACCGATCCCGTCTGGTCCGTGGACGTTTACCAAAGAAGCGTGAAAGTCAGTTTAAACGGGTCAACGGCAAGAGGGTGAAAACGGGGCCCACTTTATATTATTTGTTGGACGGGCCCAAACGTAGTTTCGTCAGAGAAAAACTTCAAGAGATACCCAAAGACACCGAATTGCCGTCAGATTCCAATATACGATAATGCCCAGAGGCTAAAGTTTTAATCCCGGTTGGTATATATGTACCGTTTCGTGTCCAACGGCGAAAAGCTCAGCTTATTTTGCGAGACTGTGAACAACAGATGTTTATCCGATCTGAAAAGCTGCTGTTTATTAAAATGCTGTGTTTGTTCAAATAAACAATTTTTATACGCGGCGTGTGATAACTGTTTTGGGGTTACTACTTTAGTAACTCCTTTTGCACTTTTAAATTTTGTTCTTGCAATAAACAGTAGTCCGTGTTATTTGGAAATTTTTCGCGAAGCAGTTGAAATCCTCGGGTGAAAATTTTTTAACCAATCGATCGAGCGATGCAGGTATGAAATGAAACGAGTCTAGGAACCTAAGTTGGTCAAACGAAAACGAAAAATTGTCGGTGTTTTTGGCAATGACGTTGATTTTACTACCGTCGAAGGCTCGAGCACTTTGCATAATATTTCTCAAAGTTGTGTAAAATCACTGGAGCAGGCGTTTGATTTGGTACTACTCTGAGTTTAAAATTACAATGAGCGTGCGACGGACCTCGATACTTGCCCGTTACGTGACAATGATCTCTGACCTTACGAAACTTGTCGATGGGCTTTTCGTAGCTCATGCAAATGTAGTTCTTAAAACCGCGATCGTTTAAGGAACTAAAGGCGGCCTTTGCGCTTTTACTTTTTGGCTCGTCCAGGATTTGGCATCGGCATTGTGATTCTTTCGTTGAATCGATGTGCCTTTTGCAAATTCAGCAGACGTTGCTTTTGTCGAAGATTTTTTGCAATTAGTTGGACCAAGTAAGGGGCTTTGGATTGGCAAATGTTTTGTTGATCGTGTCAACCTCTCACGATAGCGACTGCATGAAATGACAAATGGTACAAAAAGGTACAAATATCGTCGCATCTAACGACCGCGTAAGAATAGCCGCAGGGCTTGTGAATTTGTGTTTTGACCATGTTTGACGGTTTTGGTGGGAGACGCTCTAAAACAGATTCGAAATCCGCGTAGATTATGAAAGGAGCGTCTTGTTTTTTCTTGTAATTTCAAACTTTAGAATATTTGGCCCTTTATAGGTAACTCTACTTTACAAGGCGCCGTGTCCATTCCTTGGCAATCTTCTTGGTGTTTGCCGAGTCTTTCTTCCATTTGAAAGTGAGACAACCAATTAAAAAACCAGTACGATTTGCCATTATGATTGCTGACGTCGCCCATTAACCGAGAGAAATGTTTAATCCAGCAGTAGTGGGCTATTTCATCGCGGCTAAAATAAAATAAATTGATGGACGTGTGTTTAGTTTTATAAAGTATGTAGATGCTATCCTTGTCCGAGTAACCAAATACATTAATGGCCAAGTTGTTTTGTGATTTGATGCGTGGAATTTGTGAAATGGGTGTTGGAAAGTCCACGTTTGTGAAATTTAAGCCATCGTCTGTCGGTCAACGCTTTATTCTCGATAGACTTTTGTAAAAATCGAAAAAGTGAATCAAGTCGTCGGCATTCTTCGCATGTTTACCTCTCCGATTGCTTCCGGTTTAATGTGTGATTTTGCCTTTTGCCCCCGTGGCCGTAAAGGGTGTGTTGTTGTCTTGGGCTATTTTTAAAAGCTGACGACATGATTGGCGTGTAAGATTTTTAAATTATTGTTGGCTCGCTCGAATCGCTTGTACGAGTTCAGGCTTGGTGTGACTTTTTTTACGAGGTGGTAGTAATGATACCTTATATTTTTTGACAAAATCGGATAAAAATGATTTTTTTTCAATCGTCTAAAGTCCGCTAAGACAGAACGTCGTTGCGGTCTTTGTGGAGTATTCATTGTCTAATTTTTATAAAGGTATTTATAAATTCAATCTCAATTTTATTGGAGCCTCATTCTTCCTCTTTGGGAGAATGAGGGTTTTTATTTTCGGTTTTGGGCCACCTTTTGTGAGATGTCGTCGTCGGGCGATCCATTCCCCGGGGGTGGGGGAAATTCCCCGGTGAGGGAAAGTCCCTTCTGGTAAGGGAAGGTCCCTTTTAGTCCGGGAGTCACGTGGTAAGGGAAAGTCCCTACTGGACCGGAGGGCTGGTCCAGAAATCTCTTACCCCTACTACTGAAGAATCTGTCGTATTTGGGCTAGAGCATAATGATTCTTTAATCACTGAAAGACTGGTGCTTTCTAATGTCTACTCTGAACTACCCAATGCAGTCATTGTGCGAAACCTGTCAGGTTTCTGTAAACCAGTATCAGCAATCAAAC